CCCCGTGTCTGCGTTGGTTTCCTCCAGGTGCTCCGGTTTCCCCTACCACTAAAAACATGTACAATAGGTCTGAGTGAGTGAATGGATGGTGTTTGGTCGGAGGCTTTGATGGTCCAGTGTGTTTGGCGCCTCACTTCATCACCGTGTGGAGAGAATGGAAAAATACTTGAACTTTGAAAATCGGGAAGTGCTTTGTGTGACATCACTTACTTATTTGGTCCCTGCTAATTGTGACCCTAATCCTTTCCTTTGCTTTTTGGAGGATCTTTGTTTACATCTGCGTGAGCCACTGACTGTGGAAAGAAGACAGCGGTCTCCAAAAATAAGTACCGAAGAGAACAAATTCGAAGCCGGGATGAGACCTGGGAATTCTTTTGGTTTCTGCTTTGAGAAACTGAATTCTCGCTGCCTTTTTGTTCGGGTCTGGATCAACTTCATAGTCCATGTTTGTGTCTGTGTCGGACCCGGATCGCAATTTGGGAAAACCTGAATCTGACGCAGACAACAATGACTGTTTATAATCCATTCATCCATCCATTTTGGGGGGTGGCCGTCAGAGCTGCACCCAGTCCACAGAGTACCAACCCCTCACTGATCCTCCTGCAGGTGGTGAGTCTACAGGAGCCTTGATTATTCAACCGGGGCTTCAGGCAAAGTGGGGTTAAGTGTCTTGCCCAAGGACACAACGGCAGCAGACATCAGTGGGAGTCGTGAAGTAGGTCTTGTGGTGGGCTCGAACCCACCACCTTCAGGCTCAAAGGCCAATGCTCTCCACACTGAACCACTGTCGCCCCACTGTTTATAATATAATGTTTAGTTCATATCTTCTGTAAATAACTCAAACACAGGCTTTACAACTTACCATGAACAGAATGAACCGCACATAGTTTTTCTGTTGATCCCGGAATCCAGACTTTCTTTTATTCTCATCCTCCTGGTGGCCCACAAACCACTTTCCTTGCGTTTATCGCTGATTTTTAAAATCTTATCTGGCCCCCAGCGACCTGTACAACCAACACACCAACACGAGTGGACCATTTGATTTAGTAAAACCTCTCTCCAAGCGTCTAAAACTATCTCACTCTGTAGCATTCAGGGAGCATTTGCTGTTTTTTTGCCTCCCAGTCACAACAACGACATCACTCACGATGTCGAACAAATAATCAATAGTTTTTTATGTTTTGATCCTTGGAGCAGAGGACAAAACGTAGGTGGTGACAATTGTCTGCTGCAGTATTTCACAAAAGAATAGAGCGTATGATGTTGTGTCCTCAGCCTCTGTTTAAAAACCAATAAAACAAAAATGTCCAAAGTTAAAGACCTGTTCCTTTGTTGGAGTCGATAATCATCACTTCCTCTCGACTTTAAAATGCAGTTCATCTGTGGTGGAGAAGATGATGAAACTGCATTTTTTACATTAATTTGTTCATGTCCAGGGAGAAGGACGCCTCACATCTGTGGTTATCTGTCTGTGGTCTGGGACTGGCCTCCTGCTGGGGCTCTGAGGAGCACAGGGACTGGCCTCCTGCTGGGGCTCTGAGGAGCACAGGGACTGGCCTCCTGCTGGGGCTCTGAGGAGCACAGGGACTGGCCTCCTGCTGGGACTCTGAGGAGCACAGGGACTGGCCTCCTGCTGTTTCCAGAGTCAGGACTAAACATGAGGAAGCAGCGTTTCAGATTCACGCAGCTAATCTGTAACAATCTTCCTGAAAATGTGAGACAGGCTTCTTCTCTGACAATGGTCAAATCCAGGTTAAAAACAGTTTTACTGCAGCAACTGAAGGATTGCATCTCTACTCTTTTTAATGCAATGTGATTTTTTTTATGATATTAATGCCTTGTGTGACTGTTTCTTGCCTTTTGTATCCATTGTGCCAAACAAAAAAAACTTGCCCTTTATACAATCAAAGCAAGGCAGGTTTTGTATAGCCCTGTTTAACAATATGGTACATGTAAAAACACTGAGACACACTGATCTTCTGACTCCTGTTCACGAAAGTCTTTACAAACTGGACTGAACTGGAGGCGCCTCTAATGACACAATCAATCAATATGTTTTTTTAATAACGGCGTCACGATCATCACTCGTGGCGGCCGAGCGTTGCATTCCACTGCGCCCTTTGTCACGTGGAAGTCTCCTCTCGGCTGCGGGCGACTGGCTCCGAGCCCGGGCTGATAACACAACTGTATTGGATGAACGCACACGAGGAGGAGGCATTCGGAGGATCGGCCTCAGATCTGAGAGATACAGACACAAGCTCAGACCTGTGCCTTATGTAAGAGCAGAGGCGTACAGGATCAAGTACAGTCAGAGAATGTCATTGGTCCACTGGCACTAGAATATACACTATTCTATATACAGTATTTTTAATCTATCTAGCGTCTGGGGAAGAATGTCTCGGACTCTCGGATTGTAAATACAGGAGTCCCACAGGGCTGTGTTTTTTCTCCCCTGCTCTTCTCCCTGTACACCAACCACTGCACCTCCTCTGCACCTCCAACCACTGCACCTCCAACCACGACTCTTTTAAGCTCATCAAGTTCGCGGACGACACCACCCTCATTGGTCTCATCTCCAACAACAATGCGTCCGCCTACAGGAGAGAGGTGGGCCGGCTAGTGTCCTGGTGCCGTGGTAACAACCTGGAGTGTAGATGATTGTGGACTTCAGCTCCCACCCTTCCTGAACACACCCTCATCACCTCTGTCCCCCCTTCCCTGATGACTCCCCCATCACCTCTGTGGAGTCCTTCCGTTTCCTGGGCACCACCATCACCCAGGACCTCAAGTGGGAGCTGACCATCAGCTCCCTCATCAAGAAGGCCCAGCAGAGGATGTACTTCTTGCGGCAGCTCAGGAAAGCCAAGCTGCCTGCACAAATGTTGGTGCAGTTCTACACGGCCATCATCGAGTCCATCCTCACCTCCTCCATCACCGTGTGGTTCGCTGGAGCCACAGTCAGGGACAAACAGAGACTACAGCGCATCGTGCGCTCTGCAGAGGAAGTGATCGGCCGCAGCCTTCCATCGCTGCAGGACCTATACGTCGCCCGAGCTCGAGGCCGGGCTGGTCGTATCACAGCCAACCCCTCTCACCCTGCACATGGACTATTCCAACCACTCCGCTCAGGCAGGAGACTGCGGTCCATCAGGACTAGAACCTCCCGCCACAAGAACAGTTTCTTCCCCTCTGCTGTTGGACTCTTGAACACTTCTTAACCTGTCCCCCCGCCCTTTATAAAGTCACTTTACTGCTGTCACCTTATTGCACTGCTTATCGCATTTTGTGTGCACCATGTGCACTTGTATGTTATATAGTAATTGTAATTGTAATAATTCTACTTTAATTTTTACACCTTAGAAGTGTTGTTGATTTTTATTATGCCTGACTCTATTCTTTACTTCTCTTTCTGACTGATGCACCGAGCCAAAGTCATTTCCTAGTCTGTGACTTCCTGTTACTTACAGGGCAATACAAATGATTCTGATTCATCATGCTAGAGTTAGGGATTTTAGTCTTCATTTTTGACTGCTTATTTGTTTAGTTTTATGTTGTTTTAGTATAGAGAAATTATTAATGTATGTTGTTCTGTGTTTCCTCATTCCAACTGTTTGTAACTGGTGATGCAACACTGACATTTCCCCACTGTGGGACCGATATAGGATCTCTTCATCTTAATCTCCTCGGCCTCACACCGGGACAGGGACTGGCCTCCTGCTGGTCCCAAAGTCAGGACATGGGGAGGCAGTGTTTCAGATCTGGAACAGTCTTGCCGAAAATGTGAGACAGGCTTCTACTCTGACAAAACTCCAGGTTAAAAACGTATAGCTGCAACAACTGGAGGATTCTGTCTTCACTCTTTGTATTGCACTGTGATTATTTTAGTGCCTTGTGTGAATATTATCTTGTCTTGTTCAGTACTTTGAGTTTCCTTGTGTATGAACCGTGCTATACATATAAACTTGCCTGACAGTATAGAGGTGTATCCTGCTACACACCTGTGAGTGTAACATTAGAAGAGCAGTTTGTACAGTGTTTAAAGTCAACACGACTCTCAGGATGCGGCTCACATCTGTCCTGATACAGATCTGTGTCACATGTGAATCTGGATCAACAGCTCCGGGCCTCAGCGGTTACACAAGTCAAAGTCACGAGGTCAGCTGCAGAAACAAGCAACACAACTGAGACACAAGGCAACACAAGTGCTCGACAAAACATTGAAACCTGTGCTTCTCAGAGTCTCAGCATGAGGCCAGTCCCTGTGCTCCTCAGAGTTGGTTCATGTCCAAAGTTCATCTGTGGAACATGTCACAGATGAACTTTGAGGCCGTGGAGAGACTTGTCATAACCAGAGCTGATTTAAAGTCTATTGTCTGAGCCACAGGTGCAGAGACCTGAGACCAGGACTAATGTGATGGTACTTCCTGGTTCTGGTCTGGACTCGAGCTGCAGTGTTTTGAATAGACAGCTGTTGTTTTAGAACTAGTTTGGAGAGACCAGTGAGAAGCCGTCACTACTGAGGTTACAAAAGTTGAACAGTATTCCTGTCGGTGCGCGGAGTTAGGACCAAGCATTAAGGAGGCAGTATTTCAGATTCATGCTTACATCTAGAACAGTCTTCCTGAAAATGTGAGACAGGCTTCTTCTCTGACAATGTTCTAATCCAGGTTAAAACAGTTATGTTTCGCTGCAACAACTGAAGGATTTTATCTTTATTCGTTTGTTATTATTTATGATTTTATATAGCCTTGTGTGATTGCTTCTGTCTTGCTCTGTGTATGAACTGTTTTCAAGGTTCACCCGTCTCCAGTTTCCAGTTAACAGACATTATTTGAATCCCTCTCGTTGGCTGTTGAGACGCCGGTGGCTCTTGAGCATAAATTTGATTTCTTCTCTCAAACAAAACATAACACGACAACTGTAGTAGTTTCAGTCTCGGTTCAAACTCCAGTTCACGAAGTTCACGTCTAAATCCATCACGAGGAGGAATGCAGCACTGAATGCACCCGCACCTCGTCAGTGCAGGGGAAGCAGGTGACCCCCAGGAGCCGACAGGGGCCCCTCGGCTCTGTTACGGAACCTACAGAAGCAAATCAGTCACATTCACCAACCGTCACTCACAGCTGTCTCCACGACGACAGAGGAATGTACCAGCGTGTCTCCACAAGGACCAGGAAAACACCGAGAAGAGGGACCTCGCCGCTGTGATGTCATCAGAGAAGTCACGGGCCCTGGCTGAGTGGTTAGCGCTGCACCCTGGCTGAGTGGTTAGCGCTGCACCCTGGCTGAGTGGTTAGCGCTGCATCCTGGCTGAGTGGTTAGCGCTCTTGCTTTTGAAAGCTTTTAATAATATTCATAATAAAACTTCCTTTTACTGCCGTGTTAGTAACAGTAAGTCACCGAATATGTCACACATATGGGCTGGAAATGGCTGCAAGTCCTTAGTAGCTCTGAAACAGTTGTTGTTTTGTATTTTACAATCATTGGTTCAAAGTGTTGACAAGTTATAAAACACTAGGTTATATCCTCCAGCTCCGGTAGTCCTGACCAAGCCGAGCATCAACATTTGGAGATGGGTCCTCAGACGCTGTTACTATGGCGACCACCTCTCCTGATGTAAGCCTTAGCGGCATCAGAAAAAAAAGAGTAAGAAAAGCAGCCTGTGGAAATTCAATCTTGGAAGACCATCCGCTGCAGCCCGTCCCATCCAGGCCCGCCTCCTCATCCTCCACCCATCGCACAGTAAAGCCATTCCATGCCGACCTGACCAGCCGAGCCAACAGCTGCGTGCCATTGACGCATGAATACGTCAATTGCCTTTTCCGCTATTTTCACGTTCCCAGATGTCTATTGTATCTAATATGTATGGGGATGACTTGAGACCATATTTTATCGAGCCAGCAGGTGAAAGCATTTCTCTCTGAATGGTTTGAAAACAGTTAGGTGCACATGTTGTGCCTCTTTTTTCTCAACTTTCTGGTGATTTCAGTAAAACTTCCCTCTACTTGACGGAGGATTACAGGGGAACGAAAAAAGCTATAAACAAAATTATTTTTGCTGAGGAAAGTAAACAGTCCATTCTTTTAGAATCTGGTGTCGGATTTCAGATAGTCATAGTACACAATATTCTGTGGGTCTTTAAAAATCAGTAAAAACCATCAGAAACGGCTGGCAATATGGAAGTACCTGTTCTGAAATGGGCTGGCAGTCAATGAGTTAAAAGCATAAACTCCCTTGCAACTAGCTCTTCTCAAGCCTCCCAACCATTGCCTCTCTCTCACCCTGCTTGCCCTGACCCTAGCACCAGTACCTATAGGGCCCCGGGGATCTTCAGCGAGCACAAGCAAGGAGCTCCACGGACCAAGTGCTGCTTCCGGGGGCCTAGGGTGCCAAACCGCCAATTGAATAAACCATTTTAGATGCATCTTGTAGTCTCTCCAGATTGAAATAGTGAAATTACTACTATACAGCTTGTCTTCTGTTTCTCACATTTTTCATACCTAGGTTTCTTTTCTAGTTGCTTCTCTCTGATGCAGGCGGTTATAAGGACAGTGACGATCCAGGACATTCATTCACATTTCTGGACACCGGTCATCCTGCTTCCTATGGTCAAACGGACCTGTTGGATTCTCAGATTCTCTCTGTAGAAATCTAAAACTTTCTTCAGTCCTCCAAGATGGTTGCTGTTGTGATTTAGAGCTATACATAAATACATTGTTGCTTTGAAATGAATAAGAACAGGACAAGGTGGCGCTGTTCTGCGGCGACACGCAGCACGCTGTTGTCTCACAGGCCACAGTATTTTAACGAAACCTTTGCGCTGAAAATGTGTTTTTGTGACATTCTCTTTTGTTCTTGTTTTCTCAATGTTGTGATTTTACTGTATCTGCCTGTTTTTTTAGATGATTTATGCTGCAAAACCAATTTCCCCTAGTGGGACAATAAAGACAACTTGAACTTGACAATATTACGTTGGAATTTCATTAAAGCTGAGACACTGAACTTTCAACATGAAACTATGTCATAAAAAACATGTAGCCAGGGTCTTCCTCTCGAAACAATTTGGTTCTATCACTAGTTTTATAGTTCATTAAGTACCAGTCTCCTTCAGGGAAACACTGGTATAGCTTTTATTCATTCTTTTATTTGAGTCTTGTCTTTAAGTGTCTGTGTTTTTATCTGTCTTTGTAAATATGGACCTAGTCTGAATGAAAGAAATGATGATGATGATTATGATGGACACTATAGCAATTACAGTAATGATCACCATGATAACCTGGTCGTCTGAATCTGAACCTGCTGTGGTCAGGCCCAGTGTCATCAGGAATCATCAGGAGTCATCAGGATCATCCATCAGCAGCAGTCGGTGAAGAGCAGAGTGTGCTGCAGAGTTCACCTGCAGGCGGCTATAACTAACTCTGCTCTGACAGCTGCAAATGCAAACTGCCATCAGAGGAAATATTTTACTAACGAGAGGAGAGAGAGGAGAGAGAGGAGGTGGACCAGGAGGCGGGACCAAGAAGAGAGAGGAGGTGAACCAAGAGGCTGAAGAAAATGACATGGTCTCGGGTCATTTCACAGGCAGAAAACATGTTGTATTGATATTAAACAAGACATGACCACAAATTGTTTGACATGCATGTGATTTTAAACCTTGGAGGAATCATGTCCTCCTCCTGGCACCAAGAGATATGTTAGCTTTGGCCTTCGGGTAACCAAAATCTTATTCCGGCATAATGATGAGTTCAGCATCAGCCATTTACTTCAAAAGTGTTTTGTATGTGTCTATGTGGAGGAGATGGACCGGGAGACAGGACCAAGACTATTATTGAAGTACAGCAGGGGGCAATGTTTGTCTGGGTGAAATAAGCCGGAAGCAGTTTGTTTTGACAAATCATAATGTAAGGATTTCACGCACAAATAAGACTCATGTATAGTTTCTTTGGCACTCTTTCACAGAGACGTATAAAGTGTTTCACATTTTGAGGACATCCCATCTCAAATCTCCCATTTAAAGGGAAAATCCTTGAAAAAAGTATTAACAACTCAATGTATTTCTTATAATTAACAGCTAATTCGATATTGTCCAGTCTGGCTTTAGACCCCACCACAAAACTGAGACGCTCTTGTGAAGGAAACAAAGAGGGGGAAGGAGAACAAGGGGACGTTAGTTTGTTTAAGTCCTTTTTTATAAAACAGGAAGTCTGTATCTTCACCTTTTTAGTGTACTGTGATTATTCATTCAGGGCGGCACGGTGGCTGAGTGGATAGCACTCTCGCCTCTCAGCAAGAAGGTCCTGGGTTCGAATCCCGGTTGGACCAGGGCCTTTCTGAGTGGAGTTTGCATGTTCTCCCCGTGTCTGCGTAGGTTTCCTCCGGGTGCTCCGGTTTCCCCTACCACTAAAAATATGTACAATAGGTCTGACATGTGCCTCCTGTACTGGCACCCCCACTCCCAAAAATAGCAATTGTAAACCGCTTTGAGACTCCGATGTGCAGTGAAAAGGCGGTATATAAATAAAGCTTACTACTACTACTACTAATTCATGATTGTATGATTGTTTCTTGTCTTGTTTTGTGAAGCACTTGGAGTTTTTTTGTGTTTGCCTTTTGTAAAAACTATAATCATTGTTCCTCTCTCGCCATTGGGCCATAGCCGCCCCAGTGAAGGCGCCAACCCTGAGACTGTGCTGACACCTTTGGAAACAAGTGAGATATGATCTTGACAGACTGTAATAACAACCTCTGTACTTCCTGCTCAGACTTTGATGTGGACAAGTCTCTGCTGTTGTTACTTTACAGGTCGTTCATTGAGTTCTGTCCTTTTGCTTGCTTTCAATTTACAAGAATCTCTCAAAACGGTACATGAGTAAAAGTGCGACAACTGATAGATAAATAGATCGATACTTTATGGATCCCGTTGGAGAAATGCAGATGTCCAGAAGCAGAAACACATCCAAACAAAGAAACAAATAAACACATAATTCTAAAAGTTACTAACAATCTTATTAAACTGCAACAGCTTTTGGGAAGCTTCCAAAGGTGTCCTCTTTTTATAGAATACACTGGAGAGAGGGAGAGGAGCAGAAAGAGAGAGGGAGGAAGAAGAGCAGAGAGAGAGGAGAGGTGAAGAGAGAGGAGGAGGAGAGAGTAACAGGAGGAGGAGAGAGAGGAGCAGAGGGAGAGGAGGAGAGAGAGAGAGGAGACAAGAAGAAAGAGGAGGAGGAGAGAGCAACAGGAGGACGAGAGAGAGAGGAGCAGAGAGAGAGGGAGAGGAGGAGAAAGAGAGAGGAGCAGAGGTAGAGGAGGGGAGAGAGAGAGGAGGAGAGAGGGGAGAGAGAGAGAGAGAGGAGCAGAGAGAGAGGAGGGGAGAGAGGGAGGAGGAAAAGGAGAGAGGGGAGCAGAGAGAGAGGGAGAGGAGGATGAGGAGAGAGGGAGAGGAGGAGAGAGAGAGCAAGAGGAGGAGGAGAGAGAGAGGAGCAGAGAGAGAGGGAGAGGAGAAGAGAGAGGAGGAGGAGGAGAAGAGAGAGAGCAAGAGGAGAAGGGAGAGAGGAGCAGAGAGAGGGAGAGGAGAAGAGAGAGGAGAGGAGAGGAGAGAGGGAGAGGAGGAGGAGAGGGAAGCTTTCAAAAATACTTTGAGTTGAATGTGCAGATGTCCACTCCAGGAGAAAGAGAGAGGAGGAGAGAGAGAGAAGATTCAGATTAATTTAATTTGCCACTTGCAGTAAAACCCCATTGGAAAACATGAAAGGAGGAGAGGGAAGCTTCCAAACGTGCTTTGTTAAACGTACAGTCGTCTCTCTCTCCTCCCGGACACTTCTCCCTGGAGCACAGTCAGCTGTTGTCCTCTCTTAGGTGTTTTAGCGGAATGCTAACTTTGCCGAATGCTAATTTGCTGAATGCTAATTGCGGAGCAGACAAAGCTCCATTGATGTCTGCGGACAATGGGGAGGTGGCGCGGGCACAAGCTGAGCGCTGCTATTATTTTATGTTTTTCCCGCGTTGCGTCCTGTTTGTGTGACCGCTGCCTCTTGTCACCGCTCACAAAGAAGCTCCTTGTGCCCCGGGAAACTGGAGCTTCCTCTGTGGGTATGAGCGGCACGGCTGAATGCTCGCTATGGTCCACGCTGTTGGCAACGGCGCTCATGGGAAAGGAGAGTACACAGAGGCTTGTTGTGGGTCAGGGGCGAGAGAGGGAAGAGAGACAGGCTGTTACTGTATCCTACCACAGTGTTTTTCAACCTTTTTTGAGCCAAGGCACACT